ACTGATCTGGTCGCCTTGCTGTTTTGCCTAAGACATTGAACTGGGGCTGGAAATGAGGTCCTCCAGACTGATCCGGTCACCTTGCTGTTTTGCCTAAGGTCGCCTTGCTGTTTTGCCTAAGACATTGAATTGGGGCTGGAAACGAGGTCATCCAGACTGATCTGGTCGCCTTGCTGTTTTGCTTAAGACATTGAACTGGGGCTGGAAACGAGGTCCTCCAGACTGATCTGGTCGCCTTGCTGTTTTGCGTAAGACATTGAACTGAGGCTGGAAATGAGGTCCTCCAGGCTGATCCGGTCGCCTTGCTGAGTCGGTCGGTTTTGCTTGTTGACAAAGGTCTGAGTATTCTCTTTATGAGGATAGTCGAGGCTAGTGTGTTAGGGATTGCATGGGGTTGACTGAGAACAATTTGGAAAGTTAATCAACTAAGTAAGATACAAGACTTATCAGAACAAGGGAAAGATGAAAACTTTGGATGAACGAACCCTTGTTTGGTTGAATGCGTTGTAAACATGACGTGCTGGTTGGCAATGACTTGTCGTTTGTTCAGGCTCTGTTTGTTTTCTGCATAGTAGGGTAGTCTGTTAGTGCTCGCCTTATGCTTGAGCGATAGGTAGGTAGATGTTCATTCTTGTTTTCACATTTGTCTTTTCATGCATGACTGTTTTGGTAGGGCATTGGCTAGCCTCTGAGTTAGTAGAAGTTCTGGGAGCCTCTTTTCCTTAGGTGAGATGCTGCCAAAATTTCTGCTAAAAAACTCAAAGTCGGTCAAGTTTCGGAGATGTCAGTCAGGATAGGATATAGTTTAGTAGGAATTCTGGGAGCCTTCCTTTCTAAAGGAAGTGTTGCCAAAATTTCTATTGAAACCAAAGAGTTAATTTATTTTCATATATTTTCTGAGTCTCGGGTTTCCTTTTTAATTTTTGTATAGTAAATATTTTGTGAGCACACTTCCTTAAAGGAAGTGTTGCCAAAATTTTCGGGATTTTCACGTCGTTGCCGGACACTGCTGCTAAGTAGCTTAGAGTGCGATACGGAGTTGAACTTCGTTAACTCGATAGGCGATGCCCATCTTGATCTTTGTGACGCAGGTCATTGCTACCTGCGAGTGTTCTTCGAAGTCTTGAGCTTCATCAACTTCTCCTATCAAATTGATAGTAGGTCGGTTTGCGACTCAACTCCTACCCACTGTGATACCCACGCCCAAATGTTTGTGACCCTGTAGGCGAAAGACATTTCCGTATTAAAGAAAACCTATCCTTAGAACCTCTCTTGAATGGCCATGCAAAAGTTGTGTGAAATGGATCGGACGGGCATACCTTTGTTGAATGGGGGTCGGAAAGGGGTGTGTGGGACATGAATCTGGGAACAAAGAGGTTGACCACGTTTGTGGCATTTTGGATGTGAATCTTCATTGGGTTTCATGTGTGTGCAGGTATGTATGGGAGCGAGGACTCACTCCCAAATTTGAGAGTGATATGGATGAATGAGTGCAGGGTGTGAGTGACAAGGTTCAACGATGACTATGAGAATGACTCTCCCTGATTTCCCCTGAGACTCGCTCTTTTCTTTTCTTATTTTGCTCTTGCCGCGCGCATCTAACGAGCAGGCAGGAGAAGCCGAGCGCAAGGTTTAGCGCTCGACCTTTGATTGGACCAAGACTTAGTTTGGGTATGGCGAATTCCTCTCCAACCCGTGACTACTCTTATGTTTCTGCCCTAAGGGGAGGGGCGAGCACATCCCATCTCAAAGGGGTTTTGCTTTTTAAATTATTAGTTGGACGTTGGTCCTGAGCCTGGAATTCGGGGTCCTTGTCCAGGACATCCCAGACTCTGGTCCAACACAAAAGGGTTTTCCCCTTGAGTTGGGTCTACGCCTCCTGTGTATGGTCACCCACTGCCTAAAAGACAGGGGTGCTGCAAGGGCTGCACGACTTATCCTTCAGCTGTGCAATATCGTGAAGGAAGAACCCTTCACGATATTTTGCTTTCGACACTTGAGTGTCGTATGCAACCCCGAAACCCATGAGAGGGTGCGCGAATGTGGGTAACGCATGAAGCGTCGCCATGATAGCAAATCAACTGAGTACACATGACTGAGCATTATGATTCCTTTGACGGTTGCATTCTTTTTATGCAACTTCGTGTGGGTCTCGCTCAGACACAAAGACTTTTTTGAGTTATGGGTCAGGACGTATGAAAAAGGGACTAGGCTTAATTGTTTGTCTGAGTTAGTTTGCTTTGTCTTGTATCGTGTGGTTGAGCTAGGATGTCCTAGTCGACCGTCGCTAAACCGCACGTGGGAGATCAGCGCCTCAGCGTGACGGTTCGCGTACGGGTCCGAGCTAGGTGTGGACCGCGCGTACCCCCTATGCTACAGCATACGAGAAACGCCCTCGGCTGAGCCACCTCCGCGATTGCAAGTAAAAACTTTCGCGTGTGGTTCAGTAGCTCGCCGGGGATACGCACACCCAAGGGATGGTGACAGCTCCCACGGGGTAGGTGAGTTGTACCCCGCGAGACCTTGTCCTGTTGTAGGGACTGGATGGAGGTATAGTTGGCGCACTCGGCCGGAGCGGCTCCGCCGCTTCCCTTTTCGTGAAGCAACTTGCGAAATCTGCCAATCCTGCGTGACGCGGCCGGGAAGGTTCCCCACCAGCGGGGACCGTGCGCTCGACAGGTGGCGCCGGTGTCGGGGATCTCGACTACCTACCGAGGTCCAGAGTGAACGGACTTGGGTTTAGTGCAGAACGATGATCCAGGCAAAACGACAATTTTTTTTATAGAGAATGATATAGTGTGTTTTTGATTTTTGATATTGCCCGTTATGACCTAAGAGAATGTCCCTATGAATCTTTTTAGACCCAAAGAAAGAGTCTCGCTGTCATAATTAGAGACGCCTAGTATCAGGGTCTGGCGTGATATGGATAAATTTGTAAGTGTAACTGTATGGTGATGTGAGGGTCTGTGAATAAGTACTGAAGGCTAAAAGCTAAAATAGCAGGGCACAACTTGGGAGATGCGGCCGGAAGTTATGAGGGTAGCAACCGAGGCCGCAGGAAATTGGGGGAATTTTAAGGCAGAGATGCAGAGGAGATATCAGTTGGGAGATGAACTCCTTGCAACGGAGGACTTGGAAAGGCTAGAGAGGTCTAATTTCACCTTCACGATGGCATTCGAGAAGATGGCGAGGGAGGTTCCAGGGTTGGCCGAGGAGTCTCAATGTGCCATCTTCATGAGCAACTTCACAGAATGCGAGAGTGTTTCCCTGACAAGAAGAGGAGCCATAGGACGGAAGTTGACGTGGGAGACAGTGAAGCAAAGTTTGGCGGATGGGGAGCTGGACCGGGTGTACCAGTTCCAGATGAAACAACAACGGCAGAAACGAAAGGCCCGAGTTGTTACTGAAGGAGCAGGTATCAACCTTCAACAACTCATCGCGGATGGAATAGCTAAGTACCAAGCCGACCAACAGAAGGCGGCAAGGAAACAGGTTTTGACAGTGACTCAGCCTCAGGCAAAAGCTGCGAAGAAGATGGTGGTAACGGGTGGAGGTGAGTTGTACCCCGCGGGACCCTGTCCTGTCGTAGGGACTTGATGGAGGTATAGCTGGCGCATTCGGCCGGAGCGGCTCTGCCGCTTCCCTTTTCGTGAAGCAACTTGCGAAATTTGCCAATTCTGCGTGACGCGGACGGGAAGGTCCCCCACCAGCGGGGACCGTGCGCTCGACAGCACGACTTCCTGATCGGAGTGGGATGTGGGCCTGGAAGTGCGAAAAGGGGTGTGCCAAGGACTTTTGGGAAATTGGGGGTGGAGTCCCAGATCAAAACTGAGGTCTCTTGTGGCAAGGTTCCAGGGGCATAGGTGCAATGAGGCTAAGGGACGGGTTACTTTCGGTCTGATGGCGGTCGATGTCGTGCAACATAAGGCAGATGGCATGCGCGATGCATCTTGGGCCGTCCGATCCGCCCGTTCCAGTAACGGCGGTTCGGGAGAGGTCCGTTCGCGAGGGTTGCGATTTCTATGGGTCGGACCTCCGGGTGTGGACACGTGGCGATTGACGTCGGGCGTTATGGTTAGGCTCCGTAATTCCAGAGGCTCGGCGGTTGCCGCGCCGTCTGCAATTTATGCACGGCGTGTGGGGCCAATACGGGGCTATGGAATTCCACGGCACCACTGTGAGTTGGTGGTATGGGAGGAGGAGATGGAAGGGGGGGAAATTGGTAGCGATAACGACGAAGCCGGGGGATATGAAATATTGTGTGTTATAAGTAGTCGGGTAGTCGGGGCCCCTCGGGTCGTTGGTTATGGCGCGGTAAAAGTCCCTGGCACACATTCGGTCGTTCTCGGTTAGACAGGGGAATTCCGGATTTCTCAAATTCCCCCGCAGCCTAAGTTGTTCTCCCACCCAGTATTCTCGGCACTCTGGGTCCCGCAATCTCTCCCGGTCCGCGATGTACGACATCTTGTCATTCTGGAGGATCGTTAGCTGCAGCGTAGTGGGAACCCTCCACACTCATCTGATCGTGCTTCGATTGACAAGGGAATTTCCGGGTATGGTGACGGGAATTCCTACCGGCTCAAATTCTCGCAAAAGGGAAAATTCCGCACTTTATCCCAATACTGGAGGTGCCAAGTTCATCAGTGATTGCGAATCGCCCGCGTGTGGACATGTGTAGGCCGCGTTGATCAGATCGCGCTTACACGTGCGCACACGAGGTGTTCGATCGTACGCGAGCCTGTTGGTTGATTTTCGTGCAAAAGTGGGGTTTCAGTCCTACATGCAAAATCGTCACGTGGCATAGATAATCACCCAATCATCTAATCATTCAGTGATCCCGCAACCCAACAACATCCCTGGATTATGCAGAGTGACATCGCATCAGATACTGTAAGGACGAGAAAAAAGAAAACAACTAGTCATATCATTCAACCATCCCTTGGGCAGAATCCATCCATTCATCGTACACAAAAAAAAGAGAAAGGATCGAAAAACGAGAAAAGCGTCAGTCAAAGGCGAAAGCCAGAAAAGATGTCGAATCGAAAAATAAGGGCGGATCGCCCTAAGCCGAGATCAAAACTTATATACAAGATTGAGAAAGACAAAGAAAATTGCAATCCCATGTCCATCCATCTCAACTCTCTCTCTCTCTCTCTCTCTCTCTCTCTCTCTCTCTCTCTCTCTCTCTCTCTCTCTCTCTCTCTCTCTACACATCTAGATGTGTATAAGAGACAGCCCCCCCCCCGGATGCGGAAAGTCCGTCGTCACGCACCAACCCACAAAGTTGTCACCCCGCTTAGTCCTCCTGTGCCCATCAGCTTCGCCCGCGCGCTACAGTCTTTCGTAGCCCCACGCGTCAACCCCGCACATTCGGCACCGGCTCGTCGGGTCGCCCAACTCCCACTTCAACTCACCTCTTGCTTCGCTCGTGAGCCGACCCTCACTGATCGCGCTACCCCGAGCTTCCAGCAACCTTTTAAGAGAGCTATTTAATAGCGCAGTCAAAATTTATAGCGTGCATGCATGCACGACGAACACGGAATTGCAAGGACTTAGAACGGAGGGAAGGGGAGGGAGTGCCTACATTCTGCATGGCAAGATCACGGCGTGGGGGACGTAGCCGCTCTCCACGCATCGATCCGATCATGCAGCCCGTGGGCCGACTAGGCACAGCGAAAGGAAGAGAGAGGGCGGGAAAGACGAAGCTCAAGAAGAAAGATACAGTTACAAGGGCGCCCGCCCAAAATTACAGTTACACGCAAGATTAAGGGCGCCGACTAATCAGAGCTCCGTTGCAGCCGCAAAAGAAACGTGCGAGCAAAAAGCACCGCGCGGCAAAAGAAATTCCGAATTCCTAAATTCCTTAATTCCTAAATTCCTAAATTCCTAAATTCCTATCTAATGCAAAAATGCAAAAAGAACTTTAATAAAGCACAAACCCCGAAAGGAATGTCCGAAATTCCAAGAGCCATCGAGGGCTCTACAAGATTCGAAAAAGAAATTCAAAAGAAAGAAGCAAAACTCCTGCGCGATCACCGCGCCGAAAACCCGACAGCAGAACAAGAAAGAAGTGGCGTCAACCATTATAAATCGTGCCTTCATCGGCGCGCCAGCCACTCAATCGACCATCCCGGGACTTGCCCAGCCCTGGCCCCAGCCATCCCAAAAGAAGCGACGTAAAAAGAAGAACAAACAAGGACACCGATGCAATTTTCCCGTTGGATCCCATCTCCCATAATTGGCCCAACCTTCCCAGCTTAGGACCCCTCATTGTTGTTGCGCAGAAAATTGCGCGGAACAGGAATTGGTTCGTCACATATGTGACGCCCAGGGGGTTCCAATCTTAAGCAAGCTCCCGCTTGCTTAGTCATCACGACACGTGTCGATCTCTCTAATCGATCGACACGCGGAGCTCTCTTCGTTGCCACTTACCGTACGATAAGAGTGTGGAAGTCATTCAAGGTGCCATACGTAGGCTCTATCCTACACTTCCTCAGGAAGGGCTCTCTTCTTTCGAAGGAGGAGATCGTTCGTGCCATTGCCATGACACGTGCCATGCAACCGCGCATCAGTGACCAGCGGGAAGAGGAAAGGGAAGGCGGTATATGGGGGCATGGGGAGGGGGGGGGGGGGTTGGGAGCGAGGGTAGGAAGAGTTCCATCCCTGCTATCGTTACCGGAAGCTCCTGGTAGTGGATGATTCGATGGAAGCGAGGGAAACGGGTGCCATTATGGCGGAGAGACGCGAGATAGTCGGGGTAGAGGGTTGCGAAGGTACGGAAGAGGGCCGTGCGGAACCGATTGTGGTCTTCGCATGCGGGGATAGTCCCCGCGGTTGTGCAATAGACCTCGATTATATTGTGGCCCCGGCACGCGGCACTAAAGAGAAGGACGTGGAGGCAAAAGACAGGGGTGGCGCACTGAGTAGAGGGGTGGGGGTGTACTGTGACAGCGAGGCGGGTAGCGTAGAAGTGACGGAAGGTGTCGGTGGGGAAGGGGTTGTGGGGGAAGGAGATCGGGGCGGTGATCTGGCGAAGGGTGAGGTAATCAAGGGGACGACGGGATAACGACCGGGGACGAAGCCCGATGCCCCGCATCGGTACGTGTGCGAACTGGGGGACGGGTGGAGGGGGAGGGGGATCGGCCTCGTCGTCTCCGTGCCGGTGCGCTCGAAGTCTCGGCAGCAGGGTCCCCATCGTCGATCCTGGGTGGCTCGGGATCCTTGGTCGGATTGTCCGGGATTGATAGATCCGCGCCGCTCGCGTACTACAGCAGCTGCTTCCCGACCGAGATTTCTTCTTCCTGGACCTCCGTGCGGTCCGCCTCCTCACCCTGACTCTCCCACTCAGATCCTTCCTCTTCCTCCTCCTGATCTTCTTCTTCTTTTTCTTCTTCTTCCTCTCTGCTCGGCTCCTCTTCGCTGTGCTCGCTATAACTCCCTTGCTCCGGGGTTTCTTCCTCCTCGTCCTCTTCTTCTTCCTCCTCTACTGCTATCGCTTTGTCTTTCGACACCGCCCGGGGCTGGAAGAAGAGGATGTCGATTATCCCCCGCGGATTCATGTATTCTGATCGAGACGGATGGCTGCCACCTCCTCCCCGCTCCTCCAAGGAGGCCGATGTCGTAGCAAACACCCTTACAAAGGTATTTGTCGTTCTCTTTAAAGGTCGCACTGGTTGCGTCCTTGATCAACGAAATGCGCTGATGAGGTAAAACCCGTCAGAACGATTACGTCGGCAACCTCGCGCTTGGCAAGACTCCGAGTCAAATATGACCGAATTAGAGAGTATGTGGGGCACGCATTATGGCGTTGCACTGTGAGGTGGCCGTTAGTCATCGGCAATACTAGGCTGGTGAGATGGCGTCAAAGCCGTAGGATCCGGTTACTCTCCCCTTTGTAATTTTTATTATTGATTATATATATATATTTTTTTTATAAAGACTAGATTTACTTCACAACTAGTTCGGCCTCCAGCAGGACACGTCATGAACAGGGTAAAAACCTTACCTTGCGCACACACGGGAAGTTTATGTTGGACGACGCGTCGAAAGGCGCGGCGTTGGCAAACCTAGTATGAGGGAAAGTCGAAAGTTTGATGAAAAATATGTCGAGCGCCCGACGACCAAGATACCAAGTAGCTACATTCCTAGGCGCGGACGACGTCTCGACGTTTTCTGACGGCCAGGAGGTTGGCCGGTAGGCCAAGTCGAAGGCCTGGTTTGTGCAGGTAGGACCAATTACGGTCCTACAACTATTCATATGCAGGGTCGCGCCTACCTAACTCAGGCTTGGGCTTTGCCCTATTGGTTACGGTACTGGACCTTCAACCGACGGGTCTGGGGTTCAAGGCCAGCGAGCGACTAAGGAGCAAAGGAGTGCGACCAGCGGAGACTGAGGGGTCGAGGGTCTTAAGGGACTATCCCCCTTGGTTTTGCCGGATGGGCCCAAACCTGGGTTCGACTGGGGGGACCAAAAGGGCGTCGACAAATCCCCGTCCTCTTCAATTGTACTATTTTTAATTTTATAGATTTATTTTTAATTTTTTTAATTTTTTTTTTTTTCGTTTTCCCGTCTGCTGACCAGGCCGGAAACTGGCTCCGGGACCGATGGCAAAGAAATACCGCGAGGACGGATGAAAAGAACTTCAAAAGAAAGTTAAAGAAGTTTGAAGAGTGTTGAGCAACGAAGCGGAGGAGAAATGTCGTGTATCCCCACTCAACGGGGATGGAAGGCGACTGCATCACCGTCCTCCTTGACGATACGTAAAGTGCATGCTGACATAAGTTGTTGAGACCGGCATTACAGTAGGGAGCGATTGAAACACCTCCCCATGAGTGGCCATCACGGCGGTCGAGAACCTTGAGCAAACACCTCTTTCGGCAGATTAGTTCGACTCCTTGCGTGGTCAGGGTGCTGACAAAATTCCTCCATCTTCCCTGTCTTAAAGCACAGTTTGAGGGGTTTCAAACATACACGCGAGCGGTGTGGTGCTTAGCCCACGAAGAGGCAAAAACCTGAATGGCGGGACCCGCACCTGCAGGTGCGCATCATCCACCAACCACGAACTGTTGTGAGGAGTGCGAGTGTGAACAGGCCTGTGGGACCTGCATCCGTGGGCCAAGTTCAACTGGTACCCCCGCAGGCTGTTGAAAAACAGGCCTGTGGGACCAGCCCCCGTAGGTTAAGTTCAGCTGGTACACCCCGCAAGCTGTTGAAAAACATGCCTGTGGGACCTGCATCCATGGGCCAAGTTCAGCTGGTACACCCCGCAGGCTGTTGAAAAACATGCCTGTGGGACCAGCACCCGTGGGCCGAGTTCAGCCGGTACCCCCGCAGGCTGTTAAAAAACAGGCCTGTGGGACCAGCACCCGTAGGTGAAGTTCAGCTGGCACACCCGCAGGCTGTTAAAAAACAGGCCTGTGGGACCAGCACCCGTGGGCCAAGCTTAGTTGGTACACCCGCAGACTGTTGAAAAACAGTCCTGTGGGCTGAACACCTACCCTAGCGCAGTTGGTATTTTCGCAGACGGTTGAGAAACAGTCCTGTGGGAACAGCGCCTGCAGGAGCTCCGCTAGTACATCCCTGTGTTGTTGAGATACAGACCTGAGTTGAAACTCCGCCTGATGCAGATCTGCAGGACGCTTCTACTTGAGTCACCCGAGACCGCTCCGCTGTTGGGTGATGCAGCGGGGCTCTGCCCCACTTTTTGTCCTTTGGGACAATCATTAAAATTAGAACGATAAGGGGAAGGCTTGTGCAGCCCCTGCTCACACAGCCACAGTGCAGGTCCGTGGACCTCAGAGATAGTGAACTGTGCCTGGCCCAGGCACAGCCAGAAGATACTCAGACTAAGGTTGGCGGTGTCTTGAAGTGGAAATCGCTCGTTCGGACTCGGACACAGGGGCAAAAGACTGTCAAACTGAATAGTAGCGGATTCCCTCCTACGAACGTGCAAATCGTTCCTCAGATTTGGTAATAGGGACGACAAACATTTTTGAGCCAGTTGTTGGCCGGCCCTCTTCAAAACTACTCTCACGGTGGCTGAATAAGGTGCTGTCAGGCAGCGTTGCACGGTGCGCTAAGAGTCTAACGGAGGAAAGAAGTGGATCAGGGGAAACAAGGAGAAGACGGAAACAAGGCGAAGGAGGGAGCAAGGTTGGTGAGAGAAGAGAGTGGCAAGGCAATAGTGAAGGTGAGTGAAGGGAGAGATAGAGCGAGTAAAAAAAAAAAAAAAAAAAAAAAAAAAAAAAAAAAAAAAAAGTGAACCTGGCCGGGATCAGGTCCACATACACGAAGATGAAGGAGACCGGGAATTGACGAAGGCGGAGAAGGAAATGGGTATGGTGGAAGGGAAGGAACCATAACTTACCCGTTTTCTGACAGAACGAGGCAAGAAGGAGGTGAGAACTAAGGTTTTGACAGAGGGCGAACTTGAGTCCACAGTCGGATTAGGCAAAGAGGTAGTACAGGAGGAGTTAGAGAAAAGGAATGTGTGCGGGGTTAAAAGTGTGTATCTCACTCATTTCTCAGCGAAAATGAGCGAGAAAAGATGCTCACTAGGGGTTTTGCTATGTTCTGAATCTAGTGGTCGCGACATAATCGGGTTTGGTGCAGTATTTTTTGCAGTACAGACAGAAAGGGATGCGCGGTGCTCCCCTTGTCTCCCTCGACATGAGGGGGTAATAGTCATCACGGTATTTGCTTCTTCTTCGTCGAGTTGATCTGATCGTCATCTCGTTGCTGCTCGTTATCCTCTTATTATGATCGCTGGCCTTCTGCAGTAAAGTATGTCGTGATTGAAGTAGGTATGCATTGCACTGCGGTGATCACCCTCCTCGCTGATAGCGACTCTCTTCACCATACATGGCCGCGACCATGTCCCTCAGTCCAGCATAATATATTCTTTTGGGGGAGGACGTAGTGACCAACCTGTGGGGATTCAGTAGAGAATGAGACAGTGTATGGAGGAGAGAGGGAAGATTTAGGGGGTGGTAGAATAGTTGTTACATACTTCAATAAGTATGGGCAGAACCAAAGATCAACCAATGTAGGATGAGCATATATGCAGCGGAAGTCTGAT